TCTCCACGAATCCCTCCTCAGAGAACGTGGGCAGCGGGCTGGGCTCCAGCGGTGGGGGCGGCCCGGCCGCCATGGCCAAGGTGACAACAACGGCCCTTTCCAGCTGCCGTAGCCACCGCCTCCGAGGCAGTGCATGCCGGGGATTGCAGTCCGACACCCACACTTATCGCCCGGCGCTGCTGCCGCGGAACTACACTTCCCGTGGTGCACCGAGGCGTGCGCGGCAGCCCCGTGGCGAGTTCGCGTGTGTCCGCCATGCCGAAGGCCAAGGGGAAGAGCCGGCGGCACAAATACTCCTACAACCTCAACCGCAAGCGGCTGTACCGCAGCGCCCGCCGCCGCGCCGCGCCCCGCATCGCCTGGTGAGCAGGGGACACGGGGGGCGCGGGCCGAGCGGGGGCTGGGGCAAGGCGGCCGGGAGCCGCTGCACGTGTCGGTGGGGAGGGGGACGCGCAGCACCGCGGGATGAGGGACACAGCAGTGATGTCCCTGTCCCTGCGCAGCTCGCACATCCGCCATGCCTGGGACCCGCACAAGTCGGTGGCGCAGAACCTGGCCGAGATGGGCCTGGCCGAGGATCCCAACAAGGCTGTCCCCATCCCGAAGAAGCTGCTGGTAAGGAAGGGTTTGGCTGTGACCGCTCCTTTGCGAGGGGAGGTACCCTCCCAGCACGGGGCAGATGGCTCTGGATAAGTCTCCGGCGGTGGATACATATCTTATCTTGATCTACACGCTTGTCTCACCAAGATCCTGGCGTGGGAACGAGCTACAGAGGTCCGGAGACACAATGGACTTTAGAATAAATATAAAAAACGTCAGTCCATCTCCTGGGACTTGCCAGAGACAGGTGGGGTTGGGAGCGCTGCAGCCAAGTTTCTTCTGATAATAAAGAATGGCTCTCTGTGCACAGCAGTGCCAGCCTGGCCCATCTGCATAAGAGGGCAACAATTTCAGGTGAAAGGTGGCCCCAAGAAACACAAGGAAAAAGTTTCCTACTTGTTTGCCATTTGTCTCCATTCACACAGCGTTTCTCAGCTGACAGCCTCACCCAGAAGCCAGTTTAATGATACAAGTAAGGCTCTGCTTAAGCCAGATGGGATTTCCTGCCCTGTGCAGCCATGTAGAAGCAGTTAGGAGTTTGGGGAACAATGTGTGGGGACACAGCATTCTTCCAAATCAGCCTTTTTTCATTTGTCTTTTCTTTGCTATAATTCAGGGGGTGGAAGTGGAAAGCGATGGACAACAGCCAGGAAAGAAAATAGTGCGGAAACCATACGTGGTGAATGGTCAGTGTTGCATTTGGGGCTCTCCTAAGCCGCTGTGGGTTATTTTGTCATCCTGTGCTGTGCCAGGGGTAGGGAAGGGTGTTGTTTCTTATGCAGCCTTGTGGAGGAGCATGTCTGTTCCACAGTGTTTGTCCCTGCAGCCTCAGGAGGGCTCTTGTCACTGCGAGATGTGCTGGTGTGTGTGTCCAGGGTGACAAGAAGCCGTGGAGGCAATACCTCGTGTTTCAGTGGTGGGCTGGGCAGGAGTCACACTGCAGCCTGGGCTGAAAGGGTCTGCTCCTCACATGTGAGCTGGAGAGGAGCTGCAATGCAGGCCTGGATGCCTGCAGCCTGAGCAGAGGGCTGTTGTCTTGGCCATTTTCCTGCACCATCACGCTGGGAAATGTCCCTGCATGCACCAGCAGCAGAGCTGTGTGGCTGGAGTCAACCTTGAGGGGAGGTTGAGGATCTCTGAGGTGTTGTTGCTTCCTTCCCCTCGCTCACGCTACCTCTGCCCTCTCCCTAGAGATGGAATTGGAGGCCAGCCTCCCTGAGAAGAAGTCAAACACACTCTCACGAGACCTCATTGACTATGTGCGATACATGATCCAGAACCACGGGGAGAACTACAAGGTACATTCCAGAGCAAGGAGTAATTCACTCTTGGATCTTCCCATCAGCTGGATGAGAACCTCTAATCCTCTCTGTCCTGGATCCTGTTTTGCAGTCAGCTGATTCTTAAGGGAAAAAACACTTTGAACTGTGGCCAGCTCCGTGTCTGAGTCAGGCAGTGATCGCACTGGTGTGGGTGGGATGGTTTGGTGTTTGCTTTTGGGGCTGCTCCTCTGACTTACCTTCTCCTTTGTCACAGGAAATGGCTCGGGATGAGAAGAACTACTACCAGGATACTCCCAAGCAGATTAAGAGAAAGATCAATGTTTACAAGAATTTCTATCCTGAGGAGTACAAGAATTTCATTGCATCACTCAAGCCAGAAAAAATGGAAGTGCAGTGACTGCTCTTTTTCCTCAGGTTAACGTGCAAGTGCAGGCTTGACATGAATATTTTCCAAACTGAAAAAGCCTCTGGTGTGATGGAGGAAGGACCCTCACCAGGCAGAGATGGTTGTTACTATCCATGAAAGACTTTTGGCACTGACTCTGCCGTTCTGCTCACTTTCTGTGTGGCAGCCAGCATTTCTTTAGCTTTGCTAAAATAAAATATTCTTTCTAGCTGCTTGTGAATGTCCTGTTTGTGGGCTCTTGCTTGGTGCAGTCCTGCTTTGGAGAGCTCCTGGTGCCAGTCTGTGTGATGTTGGCACTGGGCACATGTCACCCCCCTGTGGTGACAGGGTTGGATGTGGGCAACACTCGCACTTTTGCTGATTGTGCTGTGGGCAGCGTTAGTTGGAGCAGGGCCATGTGCTGCATGGGAGAGGAAATGGGAGGGCAGCAGAGAGGTAACCCTTTCATTGACAAGAGGAAGGAGCAGCAGTAGAAAAGTTGTCTCAGCGAGACTGCCACGTACTCCTGTTCCCTGATAGGCTTGCCAGCTTCCAGGATTTGTTTTCCAGGACCTAGCGCCCTGTGAGCTGACCCAGCAACCTCCTGTCCGCAGGAGGACAGGACATGTGGGGAGAACACAACCTCGGCCGTGGGTGCGCTGGGGACCCGCC